CTACTGCTACTGCTACTACTGCTTTTACTACTGCCACTACTACTGGTACAGTGTGCTGAGAATCTAGAGGGGCGAGCAAGATGACACGAATCTTGGTACTCTTGGTAGGGGGGGCAAGATTACTTGTAATCTTGGTAATCTTGGTGTTGGGATTTTCGGGGTCCACCGGGGGGAGGTAATCTTGGTAATCTTGGTCAGCAGCTGGGGCAAGTGCTCCTAGATTACCAAGATGACGGCCCCCCCAGACCAAAAAAAAATCCCGCCAAGCAAGATTACATGCGCCAGGCGCCCCTGAACCCGATACTAAATCCATCCCTAAACCCAAGCCCACACCCCTAAACCCTATACCGCACAGCCCTAAACCCTAAAAATCTAAAAACTCCTAAACCCTACAACCCTATAAAACCCTTTCGAACCGAACCCTAAACCCTAAACTGTCGCGGGCGCCAGGAGCGCTCCTAAACCCTAACCTTAATTAAAACCTAAAAAACCCTACACCTTCAAACCCTGAAACCCTAAAACCCCAAGCCCTGAAAACCCAAACTCCTAAACCCTAAACCGATGCACGTGCCGGTACCCTAAACCCTCGGCCGTAATCCCTAGACCCAAACCTCCAGACCCTGTAAACCCTGAACCAATGTGGGTCCGATGTGTGTACCGGACACGCGCAACCCGACACCTTAAACCCTAAAAACCCCTAAACCCTAAAACCCTCAAACCCTAGAGCCCCAAGCCCTGAACCCTAAACCCAAAACCCAAATCCCTAAACCCTAAACCGATGCGCATGCCGGCGTGCCCACGGAGGAATTTGGGGGTCTGCGAGATTACCAGGACGACCAAGATTACCAAATCACGTCTAATATTGCCCCTCCCCCTAGCGAGCAAGATTACCAAGATGACGGTCATCTTGCCCGCCACCAAGACTACCCAGATCACCAACATGACGAGGTGCTACTACTACTACTACTACTACTACTACTACTACTACTACTACTCCTACCACTACTGCTGCTGCTACTACTACTACTACTACTACTACGACGACCACTACTACCACTACTAGCTGTAGTAACGGTAGTAGTTTCAGTCTGCAGGCCTTAAAACTGGAGTATCGATTTGGGTTCCCATTCTTGCCTTGCAAGGCAAACGGCATTAACCAAAACAGGAACATCCCCAAGCTGCTCGGAGACGTTTTGACTTACCCTCAACTGGACTGCTTTTGCAAACAACACGCAGGAACTTAGAGCCCAACGCTTGGACCGACGAAAGGCTTCTGCCCAATCGAGGCGAATGGGTCAAGGGAGCTACGAGGCCATCAAGCGATTCCTGCTCAGTCGAGGGAATGCACTTGACACCCCTGTCGACTTTGCAAGGGCACGGCCTCTCCGCTGCCGTACCTCATGCACCGCTCTGCAAAGCCCGGACTCCATTGAAACATGCGCGGAACATGAGTCTGTGAGGCGCGGACAAGGCCTGCTTTACCAGATTGTCGTCCTTGCAACAGCGGGAGGCGAGCAGTTCTGAGTTTGCCAGATCACAAGCAGTGCAGTGCCCTCTGTCCTCGTGCAGCCATGGATCTAGAGCCATTCTACCGCATGCCCCATTTGACAACGAGAATGCGAGAACAATGCCTACATCAGTGACTGCTGTCCATGTGATGCGTGTGTGTGTGTGTGTGTGTAGAGCAGTTGTCCAGGAATACTCATCCAGCAACTGTCTCGATATCGGAGATTCGTAACCCCGATATCAGAACCCAAACATGTCGACCACAAAGGCCACACCTTCACATGTAGCATGTATGCTACGAGAGAGAGAGCCGAACCCGCCAGATGCAACGATGGGACCACACGCTGGACCAGCCGATGTGTGGCCATCCTGCTATCCGGTTGCTCGTCGGCCTTAGCTTTGGACCCTCTCCTGGTGCCTTTGTCAAGGCGACATGCCACGTTGCATTCACAAAACACCTTTGCCAAGCGCGCATGCTCTATGTGGCTTCGTCTCTTTAGTGGATGTGCTCGTGAAACAAAACTAGTGATGACAGTTTGATCCCGTTTGCTTTGCAAACACGATCCACAAACTCCAAGCATGTAGGGCATGAATTTCGTGCTCAAGATTGAAGACGTCCTGGCTTTCTGTCTGCAACTAAAATTCAAATGCCCACCATGCCAGAAGCTGCACCATCAGTTTTCGCCTGACAGAATTCGATGGACATCCCAAAACGTCCAACCCGGTACCGTTCTGCACAGTTCTGCACCTGGCCGGCGTGAGGTCCTTGTAGCTCGCCCTGAAGACAGAACATACAGAACCCGCGAGACACATGGATTTGACTACACTGATCCCCTTTCAGCCGCAACACCTCTGGGCTTTGGCAAAATGTGCTTTGCCAGGCGCAGCCTGCTCCGCAGGGCCTAAAGGCAGAGGGATGCAAAGGGTTTTCTTGGTGCACTTGCTCAACTTCAACTTCATGTGCCCTGCGCCCTGTCGCATTGAGAACCCCTCCGTTTCGCACTGCTGCCATCGTCCTTGCCGTCGCCATCTTCTACCTCATGGTGATTGCGTACATTTCTGTACATTTGATCAGGATCCAGCAACTCTGAGGGACACGCCAGAAGCACATGTGACTCCACGGATTCAGCCGGCAAAATTCCATTCGCCTCAAAACGAAACCGTGAGCACCCAAAAGATTGGCAGCTTGAGGACTCACTCGGGAGCACCATCTCTTGCGCAAGTTTCGCATCATTCTCCTGCTGCGCGTTGCCCTGACAACCAACACAAACATGGAACCATATGCTGTCAAATACTGCACATTCATGCACTCATGCGATTCCAACACACTGCGAAGCAGCAGAAAAGCACTGCACAAATTAAGCGAGAGGGAGATACGATGAGGTTCTCCTTTATCTGATTTTTCTGCCGCTGCGGCACGCCGAACCTCAGTGGATGCATCAAGAAGGGAAGCCCCAAACACTGTGCTTTCACATGGTAGCTCGATAAAGCCAGATAAACCAGGCAGTGGACACTAGCTGAAGTTACTCTACATCTCGATGTGAAAGCCGAGAACAAAATATGTCGGTCCAACAAACCTTTCTTTGCGTCGCTGTCCAACAACTGGCAATCTACTTGTTTACGTTTTCTTGTCCAAATGTCTTCGCTCCAAAGGCAGAAATCGAAACCTTGACTAACATAACATGGCAAGCGGGTAGTGGAACAGTTGAAGCGACTGGACCCTGATGCGTGTGCTTTCCCAGAAACCCCTCTGGGCTTGGGGTCCCCTTAGATCTTTTAGATCTTGCACCGGGTGGGTCACGATATGTGCGGGCATGTCGTGGCTCGGCAGGGGCCTCCGACTCTTCGGAGACTTTCCCTACGCCGGGAGGCGCGGGGCCCAACCTTTAAGCTAAGACAGGACTCTTGTGGAAAGGTTTTGGATTCCGGGGCTTACCATGTCGTCACAGACGTCCGGGACAACCTCGACCGGTACGCAACCCGCAAGCAGCTCGCATCGTCTGTCCTCCCAAAAGTTTTGTCCGGTCCTCTTCGCCTTCAACTCTGAGGGTCGTCCACGGCATGCGGAGTGCATTGCCCAGGACATATTGCAACAGGTGGCACCAAGGGCCGTTGTGCCAGTGCCTTCCCAACAGCCTTGTCTAATGCATGCACTATTCAGAACGCCGCTGCAGCAACCTTTCTTATAGAGGAGTAGTCATTGCCAGATGCACCACAGAGCATCCTGCGATTCAGGCTTCACTCGTTCCACAACTTCCGACATGGTAAGGAGATGACATGGATTGATGTCATGGTCTGCAGTGAGACGCGACGGTCCACGACTGCAATTTACCCACTGACATGCTGAAGAACAGCCAAGCTGGAGGCAAACAACCTCAAGCTCACACTCTGAGTGCTGTACGACTTTGACTTGAGATGCTCCACCCCATCCCACTCGGGAGGCGGAGGATTCTTCATGTACTCCTCAATGACTTAGCTGTGTTGCCGTGAGCAGGGAGCACAGCGCTGAGTTTAGTGGCCTCGCATCTGCAAATCATCATGTTGGACCTGAGAGCAAGTACCCAGATTCAACGGCACAGCTTCTGGAGTGTTGGTCGGTCGTGAGCATCCTACGTCTCATCATCTGGTCTGTCCGCGACTGCGAGGAGAGAAGACACCTGCAACTGGAGAGTAAGCCCGACAGAGCCTCACATGCATGAAGAAATGGCTGCAGCGCATTGGCCAGCCAGGCTTGACAGTCTCTGCTTGGGGGGATGGTTGGACTCAAAACACTCGTGTTGCCCAGAACTGTTCTTTCAATTGGCTTCGGAAGAAAAGTGTGGCAACACTCCGCTCACATCCATCCTCCTCGAACTTCTCCATGGCCTCCTTGAACTTCCGGCCCTCATGCAGCCGACAGAATCCCATGGCATTGACAGTTTCATGCCGGTCCGAGGGGCCAAGTATAGGTCGAAGGCCAGCTGGTGACGTCTCACTGCCTCTCACATCGATTCACTGCCTCAAACTTCTTTGTCTCCCTCCCCTTCGTATGCCACGTGGCGTTGAGCCTCTGCCAGCGACGGGTGCTCATTCATGAAGCCAATGACTTCACAAACCTACCCCGAGAACGGACAAACAGTATGCAAGAAGAACCAGCTACTCCAGCAATGACCTTGGTGGGTTCACTCTTGCCTTTCACGGCCACCAGATCAACCGGCCTTCGGTGCGAGTGGGATAATGCTTGATTATCCTCAAATGGCGCGAACCGAGAATGCTCGAAACGAAAAAAGGATCCGTGATCGGCTTAGTCTTGCACCACAGACTACTAACACCAGAATGTGCTTTCTTTCGCGAGCAAGGTATCAGGCCCGGGCGTTGATGCTACAGTGAAAAGCGGGGTTTGAATTTGATTTAGCATCGGAGAAGCGGTTGATGACCGTGACAGCCAAGCCCGATGTGCAAGCGTTGTCGGAATACGAAGCGCTTGGATGCCATGCCAATCTGTGGCAAAAGTTCCCAGGCTCGGTCACAAGCTTTCAAGTTCCCGATTTCAGGGATCCCGCACGTGCGAGCTAAGCAAGTGTGCAGTATGCTTTCGGCGCGTGCAGCGAAGCATTAAACCAACGCGTGCAAAGCCAAGGCTTAGGCTTGCTGGAAAGCCTTGTCACCTGCGACCTGTAACTGCCGGCGACTCTAATTCCTCGACTCTACAGCAAGTCGTGCTCTGATTCCCCGATGCAACGTACTTCGCCCCCGAGCATGACTCACGCACAAAAGGTAGCGAGCCCGTGCCTGGTTGCGAGGTTCAAGGGTATTTGTTGCGCCGACAGCGCATTTTGGCTGCAGAGTGTGCAGGTTCCATATCTGGTATTCAAGCCTGGTCAAGGAGGAAGCAATTAGTTGCGGGAACGCGCAGCTCCCGCCGGGCCCAGGCCTTTCATGCGCGCCGCAAGGTTCACACCGTCCCCCAGCAAGCCGTACTTGATCCTCTGGTGAGAACCAATGTTCCTGCAAGGATACAATGAAGCGGGAACCATGCTTATAAAAGCACCCTGCAGAGCGCTCCCTGCAAGGATGGAAGCCTCAGTCCGAATCATTTCCACACAGAGAAACGAAATTTTCTTACATTCCAGTGTGCATGCTTCTGGGCCCAAAGCCGTGCATCAGCCGATCAGCCAATCAGGCGATCAACCGATCAGCCAGCCAATCCACCCTACACCCCAAACCCGAACCCTAAACTCCGGCCAAAGCGCCGCCGCCGTGTAAGGGCGGTGGCCAAAGCGCCCCTCGCTACTTTTGCGACTCAGTTCCATTCCGGGCTGTATGCCTACCACGGAACAGTACACCTAGCACGTACGTGGCACCACAAGCATGAACTTGTTCTCAATAGGGACAGCTGACCTGTCCCGAACGCACGCCAATGATTCGAATACTCCAAACCCTGCACACTTGTTTCTGACTCGTGCGCGTGCCACGTTTTTTAGTCTGTTCGTCCCTTTGGAAAGGCCTTGATGTTGTCGAAAACAACGAAAAATACGAGGATTTTGCGTGTCAGGGCCACAATCCTCGTGACAGTTGTCGAATTTATGAGTTTCTTGGGGATCCTCCCGGACGGATTTTGAGCCTTTGATGGCTTCTCTCGGAGGAAATCAACAAAAATACGATTCCGGATCGAAATGGCTTTGCGAACTCTCCCCAATTTGCTCTGGGCCGTCAACCAATCTCGGGGTTTCCCCCCATTTCGACGGCTCCGACGGCCAGAATCCCAAAAAACGCAAGGCTCCGGAATGGCTGCTGGAAAGGATTTACCGGCAAATTCGACGAGTACCGTGGTTTTGCGGCCTCCATCCATTTCGACAAGAAACCTGGTTTGCAGCAAATTCGACGATTCTCGTGGCTTTGCAGGCCTCCTCCAGTTTCGGCGGCTCCAGCGGAAAATTTGGGGCTGATTTTCGGAGATTAAATTCTGCATGTAACGTGCGCTATTTACTCCGGCCTGTCGGCCGATCTCGGACTCGGGGTTCCCTCCTGGTTCTTGTGGGAAAATTTTTTAAGACGAGCACGAATTAGCAATAGTAACAATATCAACAGCATGAGTGACAACTGCGGCAACCAACAGCAGCAACACCCTCAGAAGCAGCAACAACAACAAACTTAACTCCAAACTACGCGCCCCCCTCTACCCCTGGCAATTACAAGACTATGCCTGACTGTCTTGTCTGGCTGCCCATTTCGGGCGTGCGGACGACTGCAAAGACAGAAACGCAGAGCTGCGTATTTCTGTTTCGGACCTTGTGGGTTGTGACATAAAACAAAACGAGTTTGAGATGAAAAAAAACTCTGAAAGGAGCAGGTCTGGATGGTGTGCCACCTCATGACCGGCGCGGGGTGGAAGAAAGGAAATCGGGCTGCCCCAAGCCGGCCGAAGGGCAACTTTCGCTGCAAGCACGCAGTCCACGGCAAGACTGACAACAGCACCGACGCATTAGCCGTCCCCGGAAACCTAACAACTTCCGTGAATAAGCGCGAAACCCTAAACCCTAAACCGGCTAAACCCCTAAACCCTAAACCCCTAAACCCTAAACCCCTAAACGCTAAACCCCTAAATCCTAAACCCCTAAACCCCTAAACCCTAGCCTAAACCCCACTGTAAACCCGATCAGCCGATCGGCTGATGCGCAGTTTGGAAACTCGCTCTGCGAGCACATTGTTACATTCACTTCAAGAGGCTGTGTGGACTCCAACTCGACACCGAATCGGCTTCTCCTGCATAATTGCACGATGGCAATCGGCTGTGGCACGCGCTGAAGTACGGAGCACATCCTGATTCCCGACCAGGACTTTGTGCTGGACGACAGCCTGTGCACTTTCTGTCTGGCAGATCGCCAGCATAGCTCACTTGTCAACGTGTCGCGGGCCTTCTGGATTGCCAGGGCACACAGCAAGCCAGCTGAAGCCTTGGCGCACATGCTGCACTTCAGTGCATGGATCACAAAACTTGTCTACTACAAAAACTCTCCGGGCTGCATGGGCAAGCTCTGTCTCGCTCTTTCTTTCTTTCTTTCACGTGGACTCTGAGGGAGAGAGCCAAACCCTCTCGGCACGGATGTGAGGGGTGTCCTATCGCCAGCAGAATTAGCAAAGAGCAACACACTTCACAATACGCAAATTCAACAACACAGGTCAACTCTCTCCTCTCATCCACCGAGCAGATAGGGAAGACTTCCCAGTGCAAGTCTGCGCACTGGATACAGTGGCGGCAGGATACTTTTAGAAGCCTTCGCGGGAGGCAGCCTCGTCGCGCACCTAGGATCCAACCAGAATGACCCTCCCCTGTGCCGGGAGGTTGCAGCTCTAGATGGCTCTAGGACTTTGCGATTAACTCTTTTTCAGTAGATTACTTGTTGCGGGACCCTAAAATTTGTTTCACTGCCCTAAGCCCTAGGGCCGACCACCTTTAGGTTGAGGTCCGCCGGAGTAAGGTTTAGCTTGAATGTGTTAGGCTTAAGCCGTTTGTGGATGGATTGCTTGTAGCCAGTTTCCCTAGACAGAGGGGTTTCTGCTGCAAGGTTTTGGTTGAGCCGTGGCTCGTTGGCCCTGCTCAGGGCCCTGTGCGGTGAGCCCCAAGCCAGTCGACAATAAAGTCGGGACTGCAATAGACTCCCCCAGGCTTACTGTTCCCTCGCCCCAACCTTGGCCGTCTTGCGGTCTCGCTTCGGCGCTTGCAAATGTTGTGCACCGACGATGACAAAGCAGCTGGCCTCCTCCAGGCGTTCCAACTATATGGACTCTCCCTTCCTTCTTTCCTCCCTCCCTCCCTCCCTCCCTTCGTTTTTTGACGCGAAGGACGCATTGTGCAAGCGCGTGGGGTTGAGGGCATTTCTGAAGACAGTGGAAGGCAGAAGTGACGGAAGGAAAGGAAAACAAACGGCCTTCGGCTCTCTCTTGCACACAACCACAGCCGCACGCAGCAACACCATCAACGCCGGCAGCGGCAGTTGTAACCACTGCCACAACAACAACAACAATTACCATTCTGCCGTCTGCTCACCTCATATCAACATGCAGCTTATTGCAGAACCTGACTGTGCAGCGGGCGTGGTTAGGCAGCTTGTTGGGTGCATTGAACACGGCCATGACCTGCAACGAGTTAAGGCAGGTGTCCCAAATCGAGGGTAACGTCTGCCCATGCCTCATCGCTGATGAACTCCAGAAACGTCCCATTCTGGAGCTGTATTTCATCTGCGATGGTCCCCAAGACACCTCCGCAACTCTCTGCTGCCGGGCATTCCTAGTATATACACGCTACTTCGAATGTCCCAAAGATCAATCGAGGATCCCTGTCACCATCTGGCAGTACACCAGCTGGCTGTCATCAGATGGCAAGCTATCAAGCCTGTCAGCTTGCTCAGGACGGCGTCGGGATCCATCTCGCGACAAGTCTCCTGTAATCGAAAGCAAAAACACCCTGCAACTACTTGGAGATTCTGTTCGAAGGTCCTCGAAGCCTTCGATGTCACAGAACAAAACCGTTACCTTGCAAATCGAGGTATACGATTACAGTCGGAAACTGCATGTCAACGTACGTCGCCCAATCTCGTCTGCCTGTTCAGACGTTTATTCTACCTGATGCTGCCTGGTACCTGAGTTCCCTTCATGTTGGATGTCCGTTTGCGGAGAGCCGGAGGACTTCCAGAAATATACCACTGTAGAGGAGCCGACAACCAGCAAAAAATACGCAGGAACCCAACACAGAAAACAGATGCCTAGGAATGGTGAAATTCGCCGGATTGTCGATGATCAGCGATTTTTCATATCCGGTGGCTGAGGGCGGCTGCAAACCAAATCTTTCGTCGCACACGGCACGAAACACTGTTTTGCAAACTTCTTTCCGATCTCGCACTAACCGTCTGGCCCTGAGGACGAGGCCTCGCATCTGGTCACTCCGACTTTCGCCTCTTGGCAACCCAACATTTCGCCACTTCTTGAAGCTGGCGCCATGCTGAGGCTGTGCGACCTGGCCTCTAGGCCTGCATCGTAGAAGCGTTCCACCACAGAGGGGGGAACAAAAAGCGACCAGGACCTGCCGGCTGCGCTGTCAGCTGGTTCTCTCTACTGTCTCCCATCTAACCATGCCACACAAGGACTTACAGACTGGCATTCAACAAGAAAAAGATATTTCCCAACTGTTAGGCTTATTGCAAATTTCAAGACCATGGTTTCCAAATGATTCCAGAGTCTTTCACTCGCAAAAGCTAAGCATCCAAAACGACAACATGTTCAAGTTCGAGGGCCACCAAATCTCAAAGTTGCAGTTCTGCCCTGACCAGTCGAGCTACAGCGACTTATGCTTGAACATGCGTTTTCACTCCGATCGCACTCAAGAAATTGTAGTGAAACATAACGCAGGTTTGCGATTTGGGAATCGAAGCTTCGCGATTGGCTCTTCTTGGTGTGGCTTGCAGCTGGGATTGAGCAAACACGTGGACGCATGCCGAAACGACACACAGAACCCCAACACACGAAAGGCACATAAGCAACCAAACGCAAAGAAAATCAGAACAATGAAACAAGATATGGAAAAATAAAACGAGGAACGAGGGGACAGAATCACATTGCACAGAGGCAGTTGTTCACATTAAACCGAAGCAGCATGGAACTAACATGTGCAACTATGATGCCATTCCGACACACGGAAACACGCACGGAGAGACAGCCAACTAGGGTGCACGCACGGACGTAACGGGGGTTCAGGTTGTTGCGGCAGCCGCTAGCCTCTTAACATCTCTAATTAATGTGCTCCAGAGATCTATAAAATCGCAAGCTGAAGTCCTCACCTCCTATTGCTCGCACATTCTGGGTTACATCGGCGCAACTTGCAGGTTGCCTGATAGCGCTGCGCATGGCACGGAAAGCCGTGTTGAGGTTCTCAAGCTCCTACGTTCCCAGAGACCCTGCAATGCAAAGAAAACACTTCCCGAAACATGAGCGCATCCTCTGCAGTCTTGATTTTGTCTTTCGAGTTTTTGCTGCTCAACATCGACGTGCCGGGGGCAGTGTGATCGTCGATGCCAACCTGACGACAACAAGGTGCGGAAGGGCAGAGGGCTCTGCTGTGGCAAAGGGCAATCGGCTGTGAGCTTTCGGCTAATTCCAGGCTGGACATCGCCACCATGTCGTCCACGAGAGACCGAAGGGGCTGCAACAAAGTAGTCGAAAACCTGACTGTGGTTCGTGGTCAATCTAGAACCACCATCTAGCCCTTCATAGTCAATGTCAGTTTGCACCGGCGGATGCTTGGACAGCATCCTGTTATGCCTCTTGCCGCACTGAGGAGATCACGTTGAGATCTTCACATTGAGCACATAAACCTTGGAACACGGCGGCCGGCTAAGCACAATGAATAAAGCTGAAACGCAGGTCCAGTCAGTCTCGCGCCGACAGAGGGATCTGAATCAACACTGCAAGGACTGTCATCAAGGACCAGAACGCGGCTTCCTGTCCATGCCACGGAATCCTGAACTTTCATGATTTGCCCCTACCGCTTCTGCTTGCCTTAGCCTTCTCCGACAGGTCTACCAAAGAAAGGCCTCAGACATGCGAGATACTTTGCCAACGAAGCTCCCAAACATCCTTCATCATCCTTCAATCAAGGTCCAGGCTGCCAGTCCTCGAATGCTAACAATCGGCCAAGAGCTCAAGAACAGATCCGAAGCTCAGACGTTCTGCGCTCACGTCCTGTTCCCCTCCAAGAGTGGCAACTCGTCGCAGTCGTCCACCAGCCTGCTGAGGACGCAGCAAGTCCTGAGAGAGAAACACAGCGCCGCTGCACATTTCGGGCTGGAAGTGACGATACGGGTGCCCAAAAAAATGAGGCTTGGAAAGACGGTCTCGAGCGCCGGGCTTCTCGATTTCTGTCGGGCGAAGCTTCGCCTTGCTCTAGTAAGAAGTGAAGAAGAAATAGAAAAGGAGAGAGCTACTTCGAAGCTACCTTACCGCGTTGCCTCGGCGGCGAGCAAGTCGGTCCGCTCGAGAGCAAGGGCGGGCGAGATCTGACGTGCCTGAGCTCCCAGCACCCTCCGAGCACCACCGGCGGGAAGGCTGGGCCTTCCGCCTTCCCCTCCACGACAAAGCACCCGGCTTGAGTCGTCAAGCAGGTGCCACCTTCGAAGTGCTCCCAGCCTGTGCACTGACCACACGCCGGATTCGAGCTGACACATATTGAACGTGCAACATGCTGACCATGCCACACACAACTCAGAAAGCTTCCATCCAGGTAGAGGTACATCACCGCGTTGTGTCTGAGCAAGCCCGCACGCGCAGCTGGGCACTGAACTACGCTCAAGATGCCGTAGGAACAATGATCAGGGGGACCATAAGATGCCGGAACAGATCCGAGGCAGGTCGGTCACGCAACGAAATTCTGAGCACGCCGCCGGGCATAAACATCTATCTGTGCCTTACGACAGCACCACGAATCTACAATGCATTCCGACAGGGTTCCCTCTAAGCTGTCCTTTCCAGCAACGCGAAGCTGCACATCATGCTTTCGCTGCAAAGCATATCAGGAGATCAGGTGAACTAAACATGTTCCCGACTTGATCATCCAAGATTAGATGCCTTTCAAAGTGTGCCAAACTGCAATAGGATGGCATCTGCTCGGCAGTTCTGAAGAACAATCGATCGAGAATAGTTAACTTCTGTTTCTAGCCGTTCGAGGGACTTGCAGACGATTGCAACCGATTTGCAGACACCTTGGCAAATGCACGGAGGGGGTCTTTGTTTCAACGGGTTCCATGCTCGCAGAAGTCAGCAGTCGCAGCTTCGGGCGCTGCTTGAAATGGCTTGCGAGTCCCACTACCGTGCCCGGGCCTAGGATCAGCGAATTCTTGAGCGGGCCTTCAGTTCGCACACCTAAATTAAACAAGGAATCGTCACAGACTTCCGAGTCGAACACGTCCGAATCAATAATCGAAAGACTGTGAACGTCCGAGAGATGAGTCACGAGGTACCTGACACAACCATGTTCGGTCATTGAGAGCACGAGAAAAAGCGATGTCTTACCCTGACGGCACAGGGGGCGGACATCCCAGAACAAAAACAGGAATGTCTAGGTCCCAAAATGTTGTCCGGGCTCTTGTAGGGTCAGGGTGCGAGGCCACGGGATGCAGGAAGAAGGGTCAGGCCACCTGAAATCGGCTTCAAGCAGCCACTCGGAACTTATTTCAAGCCTGGTTCTCGATCTATTTTTAGGAGTCTGGGAGCTGTGTGGCCGAGAAAGCCAAAATTGATAACATCAGAGCAGCCCCAACATTCAGAGTTGCAGCTCAAAGTCAGCCGATTCTTCAGATGCAGAGCTGGGTCTTGACAGGTCCTGGCTAGGCGATCTTCGCGAGAATTTACTCTCCCCTGCAGCGGCTTGTGTGTGTGTGTGTGGCTCGACGTTCCATTGCGAGATGCTGGCGCGCCGTCTTGAAGCTTGTGAAGTGTCGGTTCTGCGAGCAGGAATGAAAGGCTATGGATTGCACGGCAGACAAGTAGCGATTTCCAAAGGGGAGTTTCATTACAGCATTTCGGGGAGAGCTGTGTCGTGAAACGCATTTATCATCGAATGGTGAACATCAGGGCTCTTTCTGATCTCCCAGCACACCCATGCCATGCGTATCCATGCGTTACATGCCTTTCTATGCTCCTTGTTGCCAGAATGGAAAATGCGGCATTGCTGTCTTGTGGTTTGCTGAGTGTCTGACACACAGGTGTGCCCAGTCGCCAGCCGGGCCCTGCAAGCCCAAGAATATCTTCATGCTGCCCAGATTGGCCCGGAAGATCCCGGGAGGCCCTGTGTGGCCGGGCCTGTGCATGGACTTCCCTGGCAATCTTGTCCAACTGCGTAAGCCTCAGGGTCAAAACAGCTCAGCAACGAGCACCAGGCGATGTGTCACTTGCTCTTGAGCCAAGAACCCATGGGAAGGAGCGTAGTCCACGATGTCGACCTCACGTAGAGCAGCGAAATGAGTCTTGCACAACATGGGGCATGACCTCCAGAAACTGGCCTCCAGCAGTGACATGGTTGCCACCAGCGCCAATATTCCGACACAGACCTTCTGTCGAATCTTCTAGGCACTGCAGAAGCTTGTAGGACATCAGGCAAGACTCAGTGCAGCAAGAAGGTCCAAGCTTGTGCCTTCATGGCAGTACTGTCGCTTAGCCTTTGAGTCAGTGCCCAGACCTCCACACTCAAGAGGAGTCAAGAGGACTTAAGTGGGGAGACAGCGCTACTGGGGTGGGGCACGCTGCCGCCATCGCTTTCCAAATCTTGACGATGAAACTCAACCAGATGCACCCCTGCCGAGGTTGGCAGGATTGCTGATGTTCATGCCAGCCACTGCCAGTCACTGCCACAGCGGCCTAGCTTGGTCTGCATGAGGATCTCGCTGAAAACGTCAACGCTGAGAGAAGGTTCTTAGTTGGCTTCAGCTTCTCTCTGAGGAGAAGTCGCATGCGACTCGCCCATTACAAGTCAAAGCGCGATTTGGGATCAAGTGGATGTTCACTTTCCCTTCTGCTGCTTTGGTGGTTCGTGCTTCGGTGTTGCGGGCGCTGTCTCTAACAGACGATGGGGCCGTGTTGTGCTCCTGCTTTTAGGGTCGCTCCAGGTCCCTTTCGGCTCGTTGGATTCGGGCGGCTGACCTTCGAGTTCCCTTGTCGAAGATGGATGGAGCAGATGGACGGAGTCGCTTGGAACTTCAGAATCAAGGATCACGATACAACTATGCACGGAATACTTGCGATACGTGGATCCTCCTCAGGATCTGGCTAAGCTCGTTCACATGACCACTTTCGTCTTGGCCACAACTCAACAAAAGCTCAGAATCCTCACAGAGGCAGATGCACAAGAATCGGGCACTCTGTCTCACGTTTGCCACGAGCCTTCTCGAGCATCTTGACTACATCACTCTTGTCCGGGCGCACGTGAGGACACTCCTGGCCACATGGCGCACGTGAGTGAGGACACTTCTGGCCACATGGCCGCAACGAATTGCAGGCATGTGCCAAGTTCGTGATTCAGTGGTGATATCAATGCAGCAAGCCAACAGCAAGCCAACAGCAAGCCTATGCAAGAACAGCCGGCCTGTAAAAGGGCCAAGTAGAAAATCTTCAAATCGAAAACGGAGAGCTTGCCATCCCCTTGACGCAAACAGAGCTCTAAAGGATCTAAGAATCGAAGCCTTTCAAGCCAGGATCACTGCGAGCCGTGTCCAAGTATTGGAAAAGACGCCACAAGCGCCTCTTGTCTTGACTGTCACAAGTGCAGCGCAGGAGCCAAGAAAATTGTCCAGTCTTCGGCTCCCTAAGGGTCCGCACCGCAACAGCAGCTGCTCGGCAAGTGCATTGCTCTGCTTCCTGCTAAAAATCGACTGACACACGCTTTTTTAAGGAGACCCACCACCCACCTGCAAGCACGCACGCAGACACACACAGGCATGCGTCTGTCCTGCAAAGCTTGAGCACACGTGGAATCAGCTTGGTGACCTGGTACGGCAGGCTTGGCTTTAGATGCTGTAGAAGCAAGAGACTCGTGAAAGCACTGGCCCTGGATGGCTGGGTCTAAGCTCACTTGTGCGACCAAGTCTCTCGAGCTACTCTTCCGATTCTGGCAATCCGTGCTATCCTGGAGGATCGCGCCTGCATCCACACCCACCATGACCCACCCACAAATCACAAAGGAGTCTACTTGAGTCTACCTCTGTCAGTCGCTTTTCTGAGCTCCGCCGCTAGTTTCGTGAGCGATGAGCTCTTCGTGTCCACCGCAATTTCGGCCATGAACCTGGACGCGCTGATCGACGGACTTTCGTGTGGTCTGGACACCCCGTCCCTCCTGGAAACCGGTCTGGCATACCGGCCAGAAGGGCTCCACCCAACATCAAAGTCGGTGTCAAATCTGCGTTCCGGGTTTGTGTTAGATTATCCGTTGGATCCTGGGGTCGCCAACGCTCCTGCCGCCACCACACCCCTTCGCAGCACGTCTGGATCAGGCATGATCAGGCTGGACAGACAGGCGCATGGCTGTTTCAGGACGGCAAGTCAAATCAGCTTGGCCAGGGTCCAGGCCATGTGTCAGCAAAGATGCTGACCAGCGAAACCTCATGACCAACAATATCCTAGCCCAGTGCATCACTCGCACAATGCCTGGGTGCGGCACAGCATCCAGTACAAATGGTATCGACAAGATGTAGCTTCCTGATGACAGTGCTGATAGCTGCCTAGTGGCCTAGTTCGATGTGTCGAAAGCGGGGCCTTCCACAGAAATAATGAGGATGAGCTCGAACAAGAACCTGTAACAGCGGAAACTCAACTCCAAGACCCAACAAACTTCTGCTGAGGCACAGAAAGAAGACAATGGTGTTCGCCGTGAGGAGCGTTTTCTGGCATGAGAAGCGCTTTACCACGGCACTGTCTGCCGACTCAAGCAAACTAACACGGCGGAAGAGCATCAGCATCGCTGTCTGTTAATATCTGGATGAGATCTGGAAAAACGAGAATGTAGACCGTGAGCCTCAGTGCTTTCAGCAGAAGTATGTTGACATGGAACTGACTTGGTTGTGCATCGACGTCTCCGCAGCTGTAAGAATCAAGCAGGAAAAAGAACACGATGAAAGGCTTCTTATTGGTGATGCTCTGAAGAGATCTTGAAACCTCGCTCACATGCACTATCGGCCTACTTCATAACATTCCAAGTCTTTTGCGGCCTTGAAGGCGCGCGGCCCGCAAAGACGTGTTCGCAGCCACGCCTGCGAAATGCGAGACCCCCAAAGCCCTGTCTGTACGGGGACAGCTTGGATGATGCATCGAAGCTATCTACAAACCCTCACAATGCGATCTAGTCTGTTATTGCGAATGGCTGTTGGCGCGGATAAACGGAGAATGCCAAACGGCGCGCGAAAAACCGAAAAGCGAAAAGTCGAAAAGTTGCATTGGATAAAGATTTAGCGCGGAAAATGCAGAAAAGTCAAGAAAAACCGCGAAAAGTCGAAAGGGCGCGAAAAGTCGAAAACTGCAGCTAGACAGCTAGACATAACGAGACGCGAAAAGTCGAAAGGTCAAAAACCGCGAAAAGTCGAAAAGTACAGTGGAAGGCTACACGTCGAGAAGTCAACAAGTCGAAGTGGTCCAAAACGATCGAAAACGTCAAAACCCATAACCACCGAAGAAGGGGAAAACTCATCAAACATGACAGAGACCAGTGCTTCCGAAGTGTTCGCCTAATCCGAAGACCCAGCTCGGCCAAAAGCATCTATGTTCTGGATACTTATTTCCTGCATGATCCCGACATTACTTGACACTTGGTGGTTCCCAGACCCGAAACATAGGTCGTGCTGTCGGCTGCTGTCGGAACCACGAGATGCTCCAAAATCATTGAAACTTGCCGTTAAGGGTTCCTGAAACCGGAAAAATTGAAAAAATGCCTATGGTTTCGTTCACTTCAAGTGTTCCGGGGATGCCCAAAATGATCAATATCCAGATGGGAATTTCGCGCGCGCGCAAGGTTCTTGGTTGGTTCCTCAGACCCACAAAACAAATCGAAAGTGTCATGGTCACTCTTTGGAGTACTCTTTGGTGCTTTCGGGCAGACGGAATGCTCGAAAGTCATTGAAACTTGCCTGTAGGGTACCACAAAAATCTAAAAAATACACAAAAATACGGATGGATCCGTTCGATGATACCAAATCACTGAATTTTGCGAGTCTGCAGTTCCCAAGCCTGTTGACAATCAGCAGAAGTATCCCAAAACCGGGCAATGGACAACTGCGTGTGGTTCTGCTACTTCTGGATGCTTCAAAACACTGCAAGACATGCAGCTGGGTCGTGCCACTAGGTGTTGTTTTTTGTTGGAAAGCCAAACTTAAAGAGCACACCTGAAGTGTTCGAAATCCGAAAACTAAGCAAAATACGCATGTTTGGGCTACTTATTGCTGGCTTGGGCGGAACCCGAAATGCTCTGAGATTCAGCAAAGTTTGCCACTAAGCTCGATTCGGCTGACAACCGCCAACTGCTCGTTTTCCTGCTGTCTCGAGATTGTCACATTTTTTTGCACGGCCAGCCCTGATCTTTCCCTGGGCTTGCCGCTGCGCTTACGCCTGGAACAACAGCCCAGGGTACGGAGCTTTTGTGTGAAAACCTGCAAACATCGACGAAGCCGACAAGTACCGAAGATTCCAAACTCCCAGAAAATGCTAAAAGCCGAAACACCCAAAAACGTACAGAAAAGTGCGAATGCGCAAAAATCAAAAAAACTAGAAGCAGAAAAGCCTGGAAAGTACATAAAAGTGCGAGAAGCGCAGACAAACGAAAAAAATCGAAACGTCGAAAAACCCGAAAAGCACACAAAAATACGAAAAGCACCGAAAACTGTTCCATTGGCTTTTCAACTGTCGAGATTTAATTCGGTTGTCCCGCTTATCGAAACCAACGCCTGCTTGCACACTTAGCGATCTTGAGCTGTTCCGGTTGTCTCTCTTATGGTATCCCCTGGTGGTGCCTCAGCCTTCTTCATGGCCACGCGCATGGAGCTGCTTTCGACCATACCCCCTGCGGACCGCTTCAGCCTGTACACGACTCGGGGCTTATTTGCGGAGAGGCTTGTTCCATGAAGGCCACTTAGTCTTGCACAGCTCCTCCTGCGCGACAAAAACCTCAGTGAATTGCAAGCTCTAGCTCCGGTGTCCAATTTTCCATCGCGCAACCGCTTTTGGCATCAGCTTGCAGGCAAGTCGCATGTCTAAGCACGGCCGGCAAGCCTAGATGCTGCGGCTGGAGCTTGTATGTCTTCCTTAGAGTTTGCGAGATAAGGTCAAGGTAACAAGGTATGTCAAGGTACGGCTGGCCAAAAAACCTCGTGCTAAATGGCAATGCGATCTTGCCAAGGCTCTTTCTTGCAGGAAAAAGAGCCAGCATAAGCTCCTGCCACAAAATGGAGTGCACCAGCCTTCAAGAAAGTTATGGAAACATTTTGCCGTAGGCGCTCATCGGGCTGGCTCAGTGGCATATCATGCCGGTCGCAGCGTCCTTGAACCGGCTTGATGCGCTTGCATACAGCCGAGCCATAGTAGCCGCTTCAGCCCTCCGGCAAAACGGCATTGCGAAGTGCACTCGCAGCCTGCTTCGGACCAGCTGATCCCGAGGAAGCGGTCGGCCGTTGCATGAATGCTTCGACCGCACTACCGGAGATCTCACCTGCACTGGTCCAGGGAAGTTGCTGCAGCTAAAGTAGGACCCACGTTGTCATGGAGCTCCGTCTCTGGTTTCGCGGAAGGCAAAGCCGCCTGAGGAAGCTTGCGCCGCCGCCGCAGTCGCCATAGCCGCCGTGAAGGAAAAAACTCCCGAACATCGAAATGTAGCAAGCGAGCTCGTCTCTTGGAACAGCCTTCCTCGTGCACGACCGACAGTATGTCCTTCACTTCCTCCTTGCCTCCAGTTTGTCCCGGCTCTCAGCTGCCGAAGCTTCCTGTCTTTGATCCCCACGGGCCTCACAGCCATGCTCCGGCATAGACCTGCGAGGCCTAAACGTGTTCTCCCTGCATGCTGTGCCATACTGCCGCCACCGCTGTCGCTCTCGCCCGGCTGGTCGTGGTAGATCACGTTGCAGTGGGCCCGTCCTCTCTGTCCCTTCCACTTGCCAACTCAACATTCTTTGTTTCGGTGAGCAACTAAGACCAAAACGCTGACTCGTTCGGTCACGTCCTTGAGGTCACTCCAACTCTCTTACCGTGCCCCGGGAGTAGCTGTCCATCGTCTGCCATCAGCGGCAGTAGCTCTTGTCAGGTCAAAGGCCTCCGTCTCCTGGATGGCCCTCGATGCTGCAGGGCCGATAAAATCGCTTGCCATCGAGTCTGCGAAGATCTGCGAAGCTTGTCCGAGCTCGCCAGCACATCCTGACAGGCTTTCCAGGCTTCACAGCGTACTCCGAAGCCTTTTCCCAACCTCTCGTCTTCTCCAAGCTGTGCTTTTCTGTTGCTTCGTCGCCACTTCCTTCCGTTGGCGAACATGACCCGGCGGCGTCACTCCTTCATCAGCTCTGGCCCTGATGGTAAGGGAATCCTTGGCGTTATCGCGCCAAGAGTGGCCCCGCAAAGCTGGCTGCTGACAGAACACCTTCCACGCCGCAAGAAACGTGATCTGTATCGTGAAAATATGCACAAGTCTCCTGCCTGCGCTGTTGACCCGGAGACGTGTCTGTGCTACCCTTCGCCAGGTGCTTCTTTCCGACCAGCTGATCTCGAAAAGGTTGGCATGAAAGAACCGGCAATCTCGGATTTTGCATCGAGGTAGGCTCGACAGCTTAGACCACAGGAATGCGCAACACCCGTGCTTGGGAGCTAGCGGCGATAAAACAGGTGCTGCTTCTGCAGGCACCAAACTTGGTGAGATAGATGCAGCACCCAGCAACCTGATCCCTCATCGCCTAAGGCAGTCCTTCTCTTGCCCAAACTCTTTCTCACCAGAGCCACTGCCACCTGCAGGGCACAGACATGCCCACATGTAGGTTCCCACTTGGCACTCCGGCAGGCCTTGGCGATTCCATCCGACTGGATTGTTTGAACCTTTTAAGTGCTCGTCCTCCTCCGCAACATTGAAGCCCAGTCTGCGATGCGCTTTCAACTTTCAAGCGTCAGCATGGCAGTTGCACGTCAAGAATCAGCTCAACATCTACAAGCAAAACGGCCTTAACCTTCTTACCTGTTCCATCACTGGGATGCTGACTTCTCCAACGTTCGCTCCAAGTCTGACCTTCCAGCTCAGCGTCTGCATGAGACCGCGCTGTAAGACGGCTTCAAAGCAGGGGACCCTCGCCTTTCGACGCCCGCTTGCGTCTTGTCACGAGTAAGCATCGTGGAAACATCCTCAGTCTTCTTCCATAGGGTCTTTGCGAACTTCGGGCGATTCAACGTGCAGGCTTGTTGCGGGTTAGACAAGGCAAACAAGCCTAATCTGACGCGATAATTCTGACTTCCTTCTAAACCTTCTACATGTCCGGAGTCCAAACTTTGTCGACCAAGGTCCGGACGTTCTCCAAGAGTGCTGCGGCATTTTCAGCATGCCTGCAATCAACTCGCTGGACTCAGGACATCGAATTCTGTGGATCTCAGCTCTTCACTGAACGCCCTCGTCCTCAGCGGCATGGATGCAAGCAAAACCTGCTCAACCTACAGCTGTATTTGCGAGCGGCTATTGGCGCGGATAAGCGGAGAATGCCAAACAGCAAACGAAAAGCCGAAAAGGAAGAAATCGAAAAGTTTCACTTGATAAAGATTTTGCGCGAAAACCCAGAAAACCCGAAAGGGCGACAGGGTCAACAAAATACGCTAAAAGTCAAAAAGTACAGCAAAGCGAAAAGTCAAGAAAGTGAAAAGCCGCAAAAAGTCGAAAAGTGCAACAAGACGCGAAAGGTCGAAACGTACAGACCAAAGCAAGTTTTTCTAGTCGAAAGGTCAAAAATCACGGAAAAGGTCAAAAAGTACAGCGGAAGGCTACAAGTCGAAGTGTCAACAGATCCAAATATCGAAAACGATCGAAAACGTTAAAAATCCATAAGCTCCAAAGAAGGGAGCAACAAGTCTGGTCAAATATCACTGAGACAAGCGCTTCCGGGGAGTCCGCCTAACCCGAAGACCCAGCTCGGCCAAGAGCATCTATGAATCTATGTTCTGGATACTTATTTCTTGCATGACCCCGACATTACTTGACACTTGGTGGTTCCCAGACCCGAAACATAGGTCGTGCTGTCGGATGCTGTCGGAACCACGAGATGCTCCAAAATCATTGAAAGTTGCCATTAAGTTAAGGGTTCCTGAAACCAGAAAATGGAAAAAGACTCGTTCATTTCAAGTGTTCCGAGGATGCCCAAAATGATCAAAATCCAGATGGGAATTTTGCTCACGCGCGCGCAAGATTCTTGGTTGGTTCCTCAGACCCACAAAACAAATGGAAAGTGTCTTGGTCACTCTTTGGTGCTTTCGGGCAGACGGAATGCTCGAAAGTCATTGAAACTTGCCTGTAGGGTCCCACAAAAAATCTGAAAAATACACCAAAATACGGATGGCTCCGTTCGTTTGGGGTTGATGATACCAAATCACTGAATTTTGCGAGTCTGCGGTTCCCAAGCCTGTTGACAATCAGCAGAAGTATCCCAAAACCGAGCAATCGAAAACTGCGTGTGGTTCTTCTACTTCTGGATGCTTTTGGAACAACCTAGATGAAAAACATGCAGCTGGGCCGCCGGGCGTCTCCTGACCTGAACAACAAACCAAAATCCCATAATATGTTTTTGGCTACTTTTGTGTTGTTTGTTTGAGGTTCGCCTAATCCGAAAAACTCAGCAAAATACTTCTTCTGGGTGGCTTCGGCGGAACCCGAATAAATGGTTTGACATTCAACAAAGTTTGTCATGAATCTCGATTCTGCTGAAAGTTACTGCCGCGATGAATGACAGAATTACTGCCGACGGCTAATCGTTTTACTGCTGCCTCAGGCCTAGCCCTCGGCCAAAACGCGAAAAGTCGAAAAGCCGAAAACGTTTCGACTTTTTGACTTTTCGAGAGATGTAGTTCGGTTCTCCGCTTATCGAAAGCAACGCCTGCTTGCATACATGGCAACCTTTGAGGTATGCTGTACTTTGATTGGAGCAGAAACCTGGGATGCGGACGGACTCGTCGGATCCATCCCCCTCGTCAGACCTGAAAAAAGGATTAGATTGTCTTCCGCCAAAGCTGACAAGGCCACCATGCCTGGTACTGTTGCCCATGCCCCTTGGTGCATTTATTTCTGCAGAAGTTCTTCAACTTTTGGGCATTTCTGAGTGGAGGACTGGCTGGTTACCACAACATGCCTCGAATCAGAACGGCTTGAACACCCGGCTGGGTGTCCGCTCAGCTTGGCCTGTTTCTCTTTGCGCTCTCCTTCTCAGCCTTGCCAAAGACTCCAGCACTTGCAACACATAGCTCATGCGTAGTAAAGTGTGAAAAAAAAACTTGTCTCCGGCATGTAATGGCATGAACGCTGCCGATACCCGTTCCCATCGTCCTCATCTTCGTCGTCCGATTCCTGGCAGGCTCGCATGAACACTGCGGCCTGCAGGACTAGACACGAGACCTCCTCCTCTCCAACATCCTCAGGAGGATGAGACGTTGCCTCAAGCGGGACATCCCAACAACGGAATAACAGCATAAATGTCTGCTGACACTGGGAGCAAGTGCCACTGGAGAAATTCTGACCTGGCCCGTCATCGTGGCCTGCCAAAATGGCATTGTGCTTGAAAGATGGACGCCAACACGCACAGCTGCACCTGCGGGTGACTTCCTTTCCGCACAGACTAATGCTGGAATTTCGCATTGTGCTGAATCTGTCGATCAACTCATGGCAAACATGCTTCTCACGGTCTATGGGTCTCTGGGTGCTCGCTTTCTCATCTTTACGAATGCTAGCTTGTAGCAGCTGCCAGATACATGCTCTTCCACGGTAGAAACATCATTTTATGCTTGGAGCCATCAATCAGCCCGATAAAGACACCACTCAATGATGTACCCAGTCAGGATGATCTCAGGATCTGAGCTTTTGTCAAGCCACCTATCGCCCTTATCGTCCGAATGCTCCAAGGATCTCCACGGATTAGAGCCCCAGAATTTTGCTGATGCGGCATGCCTACTCTGACAAGATCATGGCGCATATCAACACCTTCAAGTACGGGAGCAGCTTCTCTGAAGGCTCCCAGAAAGGCATCTGAACAATTGCTCGGTGAGCTCCTACGCCTTGCGATTGTACAAAAGGCAAAATTCTAGCGCGCGAATTGTGCGAAGAGCCTACTCTTCAGCTGCACGTAAAGACTGGTCCATACGACCAGTCCACTGGCAGCGCCTCTGAATTGTAACGCTGCGGTGGATAATTATCAAAAACTATATCCTGCCACGTCCGAAGCAACAAAACGGATTGATTGTGTTAGCGTTTTATTGGCATGCGGTAAGAAAGTGTTGAAACAGCTGCAAGTAAAAAACAAATCGACCATGCAAGTGCAATCTCTTTAACACGTAGCAGCAGATGGTTAAAGGCCTTCGCTGGAGCAGATGGGAATGTCTCTTCACGGCACATACCTCAGAATTTCTTTGTTGTTTTAAGGAGGCTGCGCAGGCTGTGACCAACTTAGGTCTCCTTCGCAAAACAACCAGCACTGCAGCTGGTTGCGACAGACAAGAGCTGATGCTGATTCGCATCTTCCACTTAACGCGTGTTCCGCTCAAGAATCAGCCAGCACAGCTGTCCGGAGGAACGCTCAAAACGATCGAAACAAAGTCCGTAGCGGGTAAGCCGCAGGAAAAGCCGAGAATGGGATCACCGCCATGAAGAGGCCCTCCAGGAAGCTGGGACTATAGACTTCGCGATTTTCTTCACGAAGTTTGGACTGTAAGTAATGCACCACGTGCCAAGCTTCAAGGTGTTGCGCAAGTGGTCCGTTTTCATATGCTTGGTGCCGGCATCACAGAAAATATTTGCCGTGCTTGTCCATCGCAAGACAGCCTGCAACCAAGCAATGGTAAAGGCAAAGGACTTTTCCGAGCCAAGTCTTCACCAACTTGAAGCAAGGATGCCTCGGTTTGGCTGTCGCCGCCGAACAGAACTTTTCTGGGGCGAAGCCTCATTCAATGGATTTCGGATCCATCCTTCTGCCTCCATGGACCTGGCAAAGTGAAGCCACCATTATCTGGCATGCTTTGCGGACTTTGGCCAAGCAGTCCTCGGGAACCCCAGCCCAACCCGGTCGTCGTTCATCCGAGTGATGTAAGTACAACTGACGTACGGGTCGCCTTTGAGGAACGCTGATTTTACGTTGCGCGCAATGATGGACATTACTGTAAGAGGTGCAGCTTGAGTCGACCAGCCTCGTTCAACCTCAGTAAGCACAACCTTGAAAAACCAAAGCGCGGTCCAACTCGCATTTCTGCGCCAACCGCTTTCTCACCGCAGCCGACTCTCAAGGATGTGAACATGAGCCTTCCACGGTACTCCTTCCGAGCCGTCGCGGCCGAGACCGCGTGATCTTCAGGCGCTGATCTTCAGTCGCCGGCGGCCAACCAGATGGCAGCTCAAACTGGGCTGAAGCTGCGATTCCGAAGGTAGCGATCACCTGCAGTCCCAAGAGCCATGGTCGTGCTCCTTCGCCAGGTTCGCCCGCGTTGCCTGACGATCTTGATCCACTCGCGCTTGCACACGAAGCAACGCTGCTTGGCAAGACCAAAACGCTCGTGACTCTAGCCCCTCACGGGGTAGCATCGCTTCAAAAACCTCGTGCTCGGAAGGAAGCCTGGAGATTCGGAGGAAGGTCCCAGAAGTACCGCTGCTTCAGCACCGCCAGAAGGAAGCTTAGGAGATTCGGTTGAAGGTCCTTGAGGTACCGTTGCTTCGGCGCCGCAGTCTCAAGAAACACGGCTGCCACGGCTCATCTCAGCTCCGGGCTCTGCACCGCTCAGGCTTGAACGACGGGAGGGCCCATCCCGACCACCCAGCCCCGCCCAGCAGCGTTTGCGGTTGGTGCCAAGCAACATAAAACATGGCAGCCGAAGTTAGCCGGCCAGGCGCTGGCTGCTGAAAGTTCAAGGACTGCTGCTGTGTTCTCGATCTGGACAGCTCGCTGCAACACAGGCTGCTGTAGTAGATGAAGTTGTTTTGCCGGAATGCACTGCAGAAGGTTACCGACAGGTGTGCCAGGAGCTGCGGGCGCAGTGCTCTGGCTGTAATACAACTACCCGAGCCGCCTCTTGCAGTGAGGTCGGAGTCTATCAGGCCGTGCTGGCCGAACAGCGGGCTGACGACCAGTCACGCACTGAAGTGGGGATTCACC